CTGACTGAGTGCCATTTAAATGACTGTTGAGTCATCTCGTGTGAATGCAGATATCGGTGTGAGTGTTGGAGAGCGCTGCTCCATCACTTCAGCTGTGATGAGCTGAGCACGCTGTGGACTCTGGAGCCACAGGAGTACCTGAAGATGTAAAGCAGGTTGGACTAGGTTATCTAGTTGCTTCCTGTCTTCAGAGACACTTCTCTCACTGGGCTGCTGCAAAGTGCTGCAAGGTGCCACATTCTTAAAAGAATTGCTCTATGCAGAGAGGGAATCGAGGAGGGTGAAGCTCCCCACAGGATCAAACTTGGGTCACGAGCAAAGCTGGATTTTCTGAGAACAATGCCCTTCAATGATCAGTTCCAGCTTTGACCTGTGAACTGTGAATGCGATTGAAAATATGGAGCAGCATGTGGAGGAGAGAACAGAGGCTGTGGTCATTAATCACTGACGCCTTGCATCTCAAACATACCGTTAACACACACACACACACACCATTCAGACTGGGTGGTTATTCTGAGAATATTTAAGGGGGATTCTGCTCCAATTTAACACCATCAAAGAGCCAAATCCGAGGCAGATTTGCCTCATTTACTCCCCTCTGGATCTGAAGAGTCATCCCTGCAATAATACATGCAGAGGAGAAAAATAACCAGGAGCCCAAAGCACCAATTGCACACACCACTGTAGGTGCTATTATCTTTGACTTTCGAGCCAAACACCAAGGTCAAGTTTTGTTTTGGCTGTTTGTGGGAGCATGCAGCTGCCTGGAGAGGCTGAGCTCAGATCAGACGGACCGGGACTCGCCAGCAAGATCACAGAGGTTACTATACATGGTATAAGCCACTACAACAAGAACCAAGTCACCTTCATGCGTCAATTCCAAACTCGTACACCATCCGATTTCCCAACTAGAAACACAGCAGAACTCTGATTAGAGGTCAAAGGTCATCTCAGACATACTTCCATGTTTTTTTGAAATGCTTTTTGTTGTAATTAATCTTAATATTAAATTTATAATTTTGACTGTTACACCAAAAGTGCATTTTCTTTGTTGGTTTTGTTTTTTCTCAACAAACACAATAAAATACAAAATTATGCAATTACTAATTATTGTAATGTAAAACTAGAACTGAAATAACTGGTCATCACTTAACCAAGTATTTTCAAATACTGCCCCCTGTGGGGGCAGTGTGAACCTGGGTTTCCATTATACTCTCCCAGTAAAGGTTTTGTCTCTCAGGATCTCCTAAAACCCTGTCAAGGATCCCTAAAATCTCTTCAAGCACCACCAGAATGACCCATCAAACACTCTGAGCATCACATGAAACCTGTTAAAGACCTCTGGAACCTCCTTACAAACAAGGTCTACAAAACAGCTGAGGCCCCCTGGAGCCACTCAAGCACCCTTCAATCTTCACTTTGAGAAAACCTGACACATATGAAGCAGCACTGCAGCAGGCAACCACTTGTCACAGCCTTGATTGGTAAATGTAACAGAGCTGGCTAACCGGGCTGAGCTGGAGACCACGGAGATGGTGGCAGGGGAATTGCAGCGTTGTTCTTGGAGCCCTTTTGTACTCGGCTCTCTCCAGCAACTGGGCTTGAATAGCTGTAAAGTGACTCCTCCATGCTGCTTTAAAAGCTACGTAGCACAAAGGTTGAACAAGGAGGTGAGAGGAATGTTCACTTAGTCATCATCTGTGCTGAGAAACGAACCCCAAAACAAAACAAAAAGATAAGAAAAAATAACACTCCACACTTGCAATGGCTCCCACTTGGTGGCCACACAATGCACTAGTGCATCTAGTCTGAATGTGTGTGACTATGTGTTTAGTCGCGCAGCATGTGGCATTTGCATGAATGCCATTGCTATATAATTTAATTAATACTAGCTGGCTCTTGATTTCGGCTGCAAACAGCTCAGTGAAAACATACTGCTTATTTATTATTACAAACTAATTTGGAAGTGTGTGCACTGGGGGGGGTTAAGGGTTGGGAGGTGGAGGACGGATGGGGGTTCACACTGTGTGAGCTGTGTTGTAGTGATCCCAGTGGGACTTTTGTTCCTCCCCACTGTGCAGCCTGCTTGACACTGCAGGCCCCATTTGCACTGTTTGATAATCACACTTTAATGTGACTGGTATGACTGCTGCCAGTGTGACCACTGCATCTGTTACTCCCAGGGGAGACAGGAGGGAGTAGTGAGTTCAGAGGTGATAGTGGTTGTGGTGGTGGGAGCCAGCAGCCAGAGAGCCAGAGAGCAGCCAGCACCGCTCAGTTTCAAGTCATAACGGTGCACCAAAGCCAGGTAACAACCAAATCTTTAAAAAAAAATAATTTAATTCTATCAGCAGTGTCGACAACGCTCAGATGCTGAAATCTCCCCTGTAAGAGTTTATATTTATGACCATAGGAAGAGGCCACACTAATGAGATGAAATCTGATGACCTTGCTACAGAGCAAGCATCACTACAGCAGTGGATAATAATACAACAAGGGTGAAATCGTAAAGATAAATGTTAGAGAAGGACGATCAACACAACACAAAAAAATCACCAGTTGTACCGTTATATGGCACTAAATGATGGAAATAACAAAGGAGGATAAAAACATAAAAATAAACCCTAGAATAACCATAGATAACCTTTTAAAAACGCCACTATTTGTGCTAATAAAAATAAATATATATTCACTAAAACGCCACAACCAGCAGCTGATTTAGAATTTCAGAAACCTCTCCTCTCAAAATGCCTGAAGGTTCGCTCTGTATAAACAGGTGATACTATATTATCAAAACCAAAAAATAAATCACGTCATTACTAAATGAGATGGAAACGAATGCATCGTTTAATCAAGTAATAATAATTATAATAATAATACACTGGTTACTGGTTGACAAAGATGTGTAAAACAAAAAGCCGAAATGAACAAAGCAGCTTTACATTTTCTGCTCCACATTAGAACATTATAGAATTTCCATTTAATATAAAGTGCGCGTCCAGGAATAATAAAGGCGTGTTGGTTAAACAGCGGAACCACAGGACAGGGTCCCGCTCCGTCTACCAGCGCACAGCACGCCGTGGTAGTCTACCTGGGCTGTTATCGGGGTCAAGGCGCGGCTCTCAGACAAGAGGCTTAAGGAGAGACAAGAGCCTTTAACACGAAATAAAACCTTCAAAGTTCAGCTCTAATCCCCGCTGCTGTGGATAAGGCAGACTGTTACCGGGCTGCACAATAAACTGGGTTCACTCCAAGCGGAATGGCTTTGTGTGCGCTCCCCCGCAGCTACACAATTCAACTAAAGACAACGCCGGGGACAGGTTTAATGGGAAAGCCGAGTAGATTTTGATCAGCAGTGCGCTGCATTAGAAAAACAAACTAACAAAAAACACAGCTTTACCTTGACAGCAGAAATTTTGCAATAAATTCATGCTTGCGTTTCTTTTTTATTGTTTTTTTTTTTTTGTCTATAAATGAATGCAGTTTCAGAATTTGATTCGGAAAGAAGAGGCAAAAGACTGGCCAAAGCTGTGGTGCAGCTAATATAACTGCTGGTTTAAGCATCAGCTTCCAATTCCAGAAAGTCGCTTAAAATGCACTTTTTAAACTAAAACTACATTATTACAGGCGGGCATGTTATTAATCCCGTTATGACTCCGTGTGTGCGGCACCTTGGAGAGCTCCACACCCCCACTGTCACAAACGAACCTGCTGCAAAGACGCCACAAAGGCTTTATGTAAATATGCATTATTACATTAAAGAAAGTTACTGAAGTGTCAGTGTGTTTGATGACTACATTTGATACCATTTTACTCACGTTTATATCCATTTTCAAATGGAACATAATTCATAGTTCAAAGTGACTACACCTGTTGGATTTCCATCAGATTGGAGTTCGAGTTTCTGTCAGCTAGAAACAGAATGTGAGAGTAAAACAAAACGCTGCTTGAACACATCTTTGAGGTGTGCGCCTACTTACAAAAAAGAAGTGGTTTAGACTTTTTTGGTTTTGAAGCCTTGTGGTCCATATAATCAGGAGATCTCAAAAGTAGAGTGAGAATTTAAAATGTTGAAAAGATTCGATGACCTCACGTTTGTGTCCGAAAGAGTGAGCCTTTTTATTGTGTCAACATAATAGACGTGGTAGTATAATCATGCGCAGTAAGAACCTCATTCGTTGTTTGAGAATTATACAGATAATGTGCCCAAACTAAACGGTGTATTTTAATACATTTCATGTTATAAACAAGTATAAATTAAGATCATTGGGAAATTAAAGCTGAATATAGTCACGGATTGCAGCTGTTCTCCGTCGAGGACACATTTTAAACACTGCGCAGCTGAAATACACCGAAAAAGTACGTTTACCATAAGTTATATTTCTTTTTCACGTCCTGTCTTTCTAAATAACCATTCAGGCGGCGTTCGAACTGCAGGTCCCAGTCTGAGCCGCTGTAGAGTGTGTACTCTGAAACTCCACGAAGCCTGAATGTCGACTTGGAGTTTTGGTTTGTTAGGGCGCCCCCGTGAGACCATTTAATTTCCTGCGTCGGTTAGTGATAACCGTTTTAGGTACCCGATTTCTTCAGCATTCAAACAATAAAACTGATGTATTCTACAAAGCTAATATTCATCACGAAGCATTTTAGTCAGTGTTCTCTATATGAATCCATGACTTCCTCAGTTATATGAAGTAAATGCATTTTTCGCGCAGCGGTATTGCCACAGGAAAACGCCACCAGCTGCAACTTTCATTGCCAAGTAATGATATAGAGTGTGTGGGTCAAGTTTGAATACCTCCGTCACTTGCCATTTTATTCAGTGTTATATCTGAACGCCCGCGATGTGGAGTGCGCCTGGCTGAGTGGTTGGGTAAAGTCAACCAATGCGAATAACAAGCCATTATTGCTATTATTTACTCACAATGTGGGGACTTTTGGTCCTAAAGTTGAAAAAAGTTAAGTCAGAAGTGCAGACGGAGCGGGAGAACTTAACTCACCAAGCAAAGTGCAGGTGTCAGGAGGAACACGGCGCACCAACGCGTCACCTGCATCCTCCCGGAGCTCAGGCTTCCACTAATTTTCCTTGGCTGGTAGTTGCGGCTTTGCGGACCATAAATCCACCTGGTAGCCTATCCGCCTCACAGCGCGCTCAAGCCCCTCAGCAGCCCAGGCAAAAAGGACACGACGCACCCCATAACCGTAGAACAAAGCTGAGAGTTGTGGACTGAGAGGACAGAGGAGCCCGCGATGCCGCTTCTGCTGTAGGTGGGGGTGGTATCAGCGAGGGTGGGTGCAGCAGACAGCGATTACTACAGAGTTAATCCAGGTAGAGCGAACAGCAGGGTCATAGCTGTGAGCAGGTTCACGTCCTGATTGTTTAATGGCTGGCGCGCGCAGCGGTCGGTGCGCTCCGATCTGAAGGCAACCGCGAGGTTTTCCGCTTTTTAACGCGTGCCTACTACACAACCAGGGAGACTCTCGCTCTAGGGGGGAGGGACGAGGTGAGGAGGGAGGAAAAAGGCAGGAAAAGACGAATAAAACGGAAGGAGATTGGTCCAAAGCACAGCAGGATGCCGAAAGTGGAGGGTTTCTCTCTCTCTCTCTTTCTCCTTATTTCTTACACAGATGCTCGTGGAAAGAAAGCGTTTCACCTTGGCTGCTGGCTTGTACGTTTGATGTAGATGGATGAGCTGACATTCAAAACTCCGCTTTCAGTAACTCCAGGCACTCCCCCTTCATCCAGCCCCAAAGAAGCGAGCATCAAACCTTAACAAATACAACACAGCTGCTGCTTTTTATGATGTCATTCCAGTGGATAACTTCCATAACAACAGCCAGAATCGACTGCGTTATCGCCAATAGCTACTGCTGAACATCAACAATTTGTTATACTTTGCATACAAACATGTCAACATCATATGCAGACATATTTCATTTGTCCTACATTGTAAAAAGTCCATCTTATTAAGTCGTTTATGTTTATACTTCTCCTTAAAACCTAATTTTCTTAAGTAAAATGACAAATATTGGCCCCTGCAGTAAGAATGCTTCGGGCAATTTCCAATACCAACTTGTTTCACTGAATTTTGTAGAACTGTCAGTACCTTCATACAAGAAATAATAAGATAGCCTGTTGTGTTAGAAAACAAAAGATGATACTTTCAGTTTATATTTTTCAATTGTATTTTCAGAAAACAACTTAAACTAAGTTGATTCCCACCAGAAACAGACTAAAAATCTTAAGATTAGAATGTTCAACATAGATAGTCAAGCCAATTTTTAATACTGGTCATGGCTGGCATGTATTCTGTTATATACTGAGTAGTTAGGCCTCTATTTAGTAGTTTACATAGCAGGGAGGCCTGCCACTCCTTTACTGTTTCTGATGGCATGCAATCGTGCAAAAGATTCCCAGACATCATCCCATGCATATACTGGACAAAACAAAATGACATTGCATGTAATGTGTGCACAACAGTGTAGAATATGTCATTTAATGAAGCATGGTCGAACATGCAGGCCAACCAGTTTCAAATGGGAGCGGGTTTGTCTCAGATTTTGTTCTTTTGTTTTAAGCACTTGGTTAAGGACTGGTGTTATACAGAAAAAGTGACTGTGACTTCAGTGTTTTTAATTGCATTTAATCAAATCCAAGACCTTTCTCTAATTTTAACCAGCGTGCTTTGCTGCCCAAACCAATCGTCCAACAGGACTTCTGGCTGTGAACCCAGTCTAGGGTTTGCTGTCACTCTCTTGGCATCTATGCAGCCTTCATTTATTCAGAAATTAAATAAATAATTGCATCTTACCCAGAGTCCTAGTAACCAGCTACTGTAAAATGTCTACACTGAATTAGCTGTTTGTGAATTAGTTTTGTGATATTTTAATTAAACAAAAGTTTGTGTATGTGAAGTGTGTATTTGTAGGATACAGTATGTATCGTATAAGCATAATATACCTTTTAAAGCTAGATTTGGACACCGCCCCTTTATGAAAGAGGACCTTATAACTGGCTCAAATAGCATTTGCCTTATCATTTCAGTTTTTAATTCTGTATTGCTCTCTAAACTGAAGTGTGATAAATCAAATTAGCAAGCACTAATTTCCACATAGGCCTCTGAGAGTCTGAGGCTCCTGGGCAGTTGCTTGCTTTTCCTAGTTGGTAATCCAGCCTTGGATGGGAAGAGACTTTGTTTTTTTAAATGCAGAAAATGTCATATTTACAGGTATCAGTTTACATTTTGCCACCTAAGCCAGTTCCTTTCACTGATAAAGACATGAGATGTGATTGAAAGCTCTTAAAATTCTGGTGAGTTGAGACTATTTTGTCACACCAGTTGTGTTGTCTAAGAGTAAAATTTGCACATCCAAGGGCCAAATAAGAATTGTGTTTGTTCATGGGCACAGAAGCTGATGTGCACGTGTGTGTCTGCTGCCCCATGCTAGCAGAGGCAGGACAAAGCGACTGAAACCTGTGCAGATGCTGAGTGTGTGTTTCTGGGTTAGGGATAAATATATAGGATCCTTTTTGTCATGGAACAGACGGGGTGGGGAGGTGAGCAGAAAAGAAAAGACAGGAGAGGCTGTGCCTTAATAAATCCCCAGCAGTCTCATTGCTACAATATTGCAGTGGCCTGGCACTGTCACTATAACTCAGCCAGCAGGGCTGATGGGATCCTGCTCTGAATGGCCCAGATAGCCTTCACAAGCCCAGCATGGCATGTGGTGGCAGAGCAGGCCTGATAAATCACCAGGGACCGGCTGGCTTCCATTGTAGCTGTAATAAAGCACAATCTGCCTTATGGTATACTAAGGGGCCCATAATTCAGGATTAACTCGAGTCCCTCCTCCTTGATCAAAAATATTTATTTTGATTAAAATGATTATTATTGTTGTTGTTTTAGAATGGCCAGTTTCAAATGGGAGCGGTTTGTCTCACATGCCTGAATGATCCGGCATGTCAACGCTACAACATCAGTGTTCTAGCCCATTTGTTCTGAATCACATACTGTGTGGTTTACAACAACACTAACGTTTCTCAAAACTATGACAATCTTTTTATGTTTTTGGTTGTGTACCTACCTACCAGTCATCCACATCTACTCCTTTTATGATTATCATTACACGGCTTCACTGACACTTACATTAAGATTAGTACAGGAATAACAAATCACTAAAGAATGAGTTAAAAGTTTGCACATTACAGTATAATACTTCTGACAAACAGCTTCTATAAGCTGATTTCCATTGCAAGATGAGTGCAAAACATGACTGCCTGGAAGGTCTGAAGTTCTTAGAATGTTTTGGAAGACGATCATCAGGAATGTACAGTATGGCTCAGTATTAATACATATGTACAGTTATGTATATGGAATATGTACAGTATTAAATGTATTAAAATGGGCAAAACAAGCAATCGTTAACTAAAAACATCAAGTACAACAAAGGTCTTTCCCTGAACTGGAGCTGATTTGAAAACTTGGGGGGGGGGAAGGTCCCTTTAAACTTGTAGTAGGATACTGCATCTTTGACTGCAGTTCAGAATGGGAGTGATGCAAGAAGAGGACGCTTTATGAATTTGATGTTATTTTACTGCTTTAACCAGCACAATGCTGCAAGCTAGCAACCAGAGATGTGAAGACTGCTGCAGTAAAGGTTTTCACAAGCACTATGAATTAAAATATTTTGGCCTGACAATAATTAACACAACCAAAATATCTAAAAAAAAAAAGTTTCATTTCTGTAGTAAATGAGGTTCATGCAGGAAACAGATGGAGTCACTACCAGAGCTTAAATCACTTTCAGTATGTGTATTTCATTAGCCTGATTAAACCAAAGTAACTGAAATAGCATTTCATTTCACTTCACTTTTCATCCTGGCATCAACTCTGTTTGGATGGAGTGTTATTTCAGTCTTGGTTCATTCTGCCCAATCGGCAAGTGATGTATCCATCCTGCCAACTAAATCTACAGTCAACCTGGAAGCTGCCGTAGTGTTTGCTTGGAGCAGTGCTTGTCATGACAGTCAAAGAAATGTAATACGTGCAAAGACTTGCCATTTCTGTCACTCGACTTTTAATAACTTGTACACCTTGTACACCATAGCATCAGTTGTGTTACCGTTTGTGTGGCTTTTTTTTTATCACCATGTGGATGTAACCGGATAGCAAGTTGGGTGGCTGTGGCTCATGAGGTAGGGCAGTCGTCTCCTGACCAGCAAGTTGGTGGTTCGACTCCCGATCTCCCCGCATGCCTAAGTGTCCCTGAGCAAGACACTGAACCCCGAATTGCTCCTGGTGGCTTGACTAGCGCCGGTGCATGGCAGCTTGTCGTCATCAGTGTGTGAATGTTGTGTGTGAATGGGTGAATGGTGTATCATCTCTGTAAAGCGCTTTGGCCAGTGCAACACACTGTGAGAAAGCGCTATATAAAATACAGTCCATTTACCATTTACCAAGTTAGGTAAGAAGATGACACCTCAACTCTTTAGCTGACAACAACCCATGTTCAAGGACAACATCACTGACTGGGCGGCAATTAAAAGGTCAGGACCCATGCTATTTTATAACTGGATGTACTTTTTATATGGCATTTATTACAATGTTTTGTTAGGTGAATTAATTTACCTCTGTAGCTTTGGATGGCCTTCTGATGTTTGAATCAGACATATTTAAATAATGCCTTTAAGCCTCCATGTTTAGAATTTGAATATATTTACCACTTACATACTAAGCAGTGCTACTGTAGCATTTAAAGCAGGCATAGTAATGGACACCAATGCATCCTGAGGTCACCGAGATGACTGGGCTGAAATTAACAGCCTCTTTTAAAGGCGTTGTGTGGAGTGGTCCTGTATGTGCTCACAAACTGCAACACTTTGAGGAGGCTGTAGAATTGGAAAAACCACAACTGGTTCTAAAGAAAAACACTGATACCAAAGATTTGGAGCCCTTAGTAAACTTTTTTACATTCACTGGAACTATTTAAAGAATTCTTTGTTTTTACAGTTTATGTGGATGGAGACTATGGTATGATTTATGGTCAGAAAAGGAATAGTTAGGTTTAGCCAACCAAAGTCTGTTTAGACAAGTTATTTTTTATGATCAATGTCAATGATCAGTATTTGTTTTTGGTTAGTTTCTTTACAGTAAAGTAACATCAGCTGCGATATGCTATAAAGGCCCATTATGTGATAGAGTGGCACTGAGCAGAAGTCGTGAAGTGTGGTCATCTAGTTTGAAGTGTATTCCAAAGGTAAATACCGGGTTTGGTTTCATAGAGCAGTGCAGGAGTAAACAGAAAACCTAGCAGAATGGTGTTTAAAGCTATGGTGAATGGTGTCAGAATCAATATAATAAAATTCAAGATGCTGTTCGGTGCTTTGCTTATGCTGTGGAATGTGCTCCAAGTCATTAACTTAGCGGAGAAGTATGAGTTGCATTGCATTTCAAGGCCACTATACAGCATCCTTGAAGCGCAGACTGAGCTGCTGAGTTGTGCCCAGTGGCACTGGCAGCCGTAATCCTGTAAACACTTTGTGTACATTTTTTAGGCCTAATGATTTTGCT